CTTGCCTAAAAGCAGAACATAAATTTGTAGAAGTGTCTCTCTTGCCCACTCTACCAGAAAGGACACAGGTAAGTCACCAGAGACAACTCTGGGCTCTTACCACCTAGAGAAGGCCCCAAAGAAGTAACGAACTTTACTAATGACTCTTATTTTCCAATAGTTTCTCCATATCATCGCCCTAGAAACTCAAATTTCTTTTCCTTTTTTTTTTTTGCCACTTCTCTAAAAATCATTGTTCTTTTGTTGAGATGCTATATGAGCCCGTTTCAGCCACTCCTTTGAGTTACTAATGGCCGAGTTCTGCACACAGTAATAACATTTGCATGCTTTTCTCGTTAATCTGTCCTTTGCCAATTTAATTTGCAGAGCCACAGGAGAGGAACCTAAAATACATAGAGGAAAAAAGACTTGTTTTCATTCCCACACCATATTCACTATTTTTTTTTTCTTTACAAATGCTATCTTGCTACTTGCATTTCATTCCTGTCCTCTGGACATAATCTATTTCACATGAACTTAACTAGTTCTTTCAGTGAGAATACACAAGCAGTAAATTCTCTAAATTTTTGGCTGAAAATATTGTTGTTATCCCTTTATTCTTGAATAATAATTTAGTTTGTCATAGAATCTTGCATTCCTATATTTTCCCTCAATACTTGAAGATTTTCCTTCATTATTTCCTGGCATTTATTTTGGCTGATGAATAAATAGTCTGTTATCAGTTTAATTACTCTTTAATATGTAATTATCTTTTTCTCTGCTTAAATGACACTTTTTTTCTTTTTAATAATTTCCAGTTTTATGACAATGTGTCCAAGGATAGATTTCTTTGTGTTGATCTTAATCAGGACTTTTTGTGCTTCTTAAATCTAAAGATTATGTCTTTCATCAAATCTAAAATCTAGAAAAGAAAAATTCAACCATAAACTTTCCCTCTCCATATTTTCTTCTTAGGAACTACTGCTAGACATCATCCATGCCTCTCCATTTAATAATGCCTAAATCCTCTTCTCTTGCACTTCATCCTAAGTGGTGACTTCAGATCTGTTTTGAAGTTCATCAATTTTTTATTTGAGTGCAATTTTCTGTTTATCATTAATAAGTTTTTATACTATAGTAAGTATAATTTGAATTTTAATAAGTTCTATTATTTTTTTCTTTGATTCTGCATATTTTTTTTTCATATTGTTTGCTTCTTTGGTCAAGGATTATTTTGTCCTTACTTAATTTTTAAATTGAGGCATCAATAATAACATTATATTCAAGGATTATTTTGTCCTTACTTAATTTTTAAATTGAGGCATCAATAATATTATAACATTATATTAGTTTCAGGTGTACAACACAATGATTTAATATTTGTGCTTACTGCAAAATGATCACCACAATGGCCTGGTTAACACTTTTCACCATACATAGTTACAACATTTTTTTCTTAAAATATGATTGCTTCAAAAATTTATCCTTGCACACGGGCCATGCTAATCTTCTATGTATCGTTCCAATGTTAGTACATGTGCTGCCAAAGCACACAATGTGCTTACTTAATTTTAAAATTTCATTTTAAACATAATTATTTTATATTTTCTCTCAGACTGTCCTATTGTTTTTGTTTCTGAGGGCACTGATTCTCCTCCTCATTGTGCCTGAGGAGTCTCTCTCATGTCAATTCTATTTTTAGTTTGTTTTTATTATAAGCTCAAGACCAGCCAGGGTTGCTCTTCTGGGAACCCCATATGCTTTGACATCTGACATTGAGAGGATTCATATCTGCATTTACTGGAGCCCTAGGGATTTCAATTGTCCGTCAGCAGTTTTATGTTAATTCTCCGCCTGGGAGGTGCCCCACTGCAGAGGCAGTAAATATAACTGGGCCTGGGGTTTTGCTTCTCACTGGCGACCTTTCCTTCCTCTGCAGGGAGTCCTCAGCCAGACTGAAGGCCTCCTCAGTGCTTCCCCAAGCAGTGCTGGTCCCCTTTCTACAGATGGGGACTTACCTAGATCTGGCAAACCCACGCCTGGTGTCACCTTACCCAAGAAGTGTGTCATCTCCCAGGATAGCTGACCCTTCCATCAAACACTGGGCCAGTGTCGTCAGAGGCAATTTTTTCTGAAAGGAAAAAATGGTTGCAATGAAAACTACTTTCAGCATTGCCCGCTTTCCTTAAAACAGCAAAAACTCAAATACTCACCTAGATATTACATTAGCTAAGAAACAAAATGACTTTAAAATATGTTTAAAACCTAAACATCTACAGGATTTAATAATGATGGGACAGATTCAGAGATGTCAAAGTTCAGAAAAGTAAAACTGAATTAAATTTGTAAATTTGGAAAAGAAGCCTAAAATTTACATGCTGCATTTTAACAGAAAGTGGGACAGCAGCAAGAAAGAAAGAGAAAAATCTCAAAATTATATTAACAAAGATTGGAGAAATGCCTTAATTTCCAAAAACCAACTCCTCATCTGAAAAGTGTATTAGCCACATTTTATATATGAGGCAGATTATGGTCAAGAAAGAGAGAAAAGCCCAGCCAGTGTGGCTCAGTGGTTGAGCATCGACCTATGAACCAGGAGGTCACGGTTGGATTCCCAGTCAGGGCACACGCCTGGGTTGTGGGCTGGATCCTCAGTAGGGGATGTGCAAAAGGTGGCCTATCGCTGATTCTCTCTCATAATTGATGTTTCTATCTCTCTCTTCCTTCCTCTCTGAAATCAATAAAAATATATTTTAAGAGAGAAAAAAGTGTTCACATACAATTACAATACAAAGAATGTAAGCTTCCACAAAAAGGCACACTCCAAATAAGATACAGAATAGTCAAGAAGCACATGAAAAGATTCTTAACGGCATTAGTAATTAGGGAAATTCAAATCAAAGATACCACCTCGAGATACCACCTCACACTAGGATGGCTATCCTAGAATTAATAATATATATTTGTAAAAATCAGAAAATGAGTATCGGGGAGCATGTGGAGACACCAGCGCCTAACGCGCTGCAGGTGGAAATGTCCACGGGCAGCACTGGGGGAAGTCCGGCAGTATTTCAATTGGGTGAACAACTGTCACATGGCCCAGCAATTCCACTCTGGGGCAGACGCTGAAAATAATGGAAAACAAACGATCAGACAAAAATATGTGCCTGGATGTGAACAGCAGCACTGTTCACAGCAGGCCAAAGGCGGGAACAGCTCAACGATCACGAGCTAACGGATAAACAAACGTGGTACAGCCACACAAGGGACTATTACTCAGCCATAAAAAGGAATGAAGTCTTAACACAGGCTACTACCTGGATGAACTTGAGAACATCATGCAAAGTGAAAGGAGCCAGACACCACAGAGCACATATTGTATGATTCTATTATATGAAGTGTCCCGAATAAACAAATCCATAGACACAGAAAGTAGATCAGTGGTTGCAGGGGGCTGCGGGGAGGGGAAATGAGGAATGATTGCTTATGAGTATGGGGTTTCCTTTTGGGGTGAGGAGAATGTTCTGGAATTAGATGGTGAGGGTAGTGGCACAAAGTTGTGAATGTACTAAATATCACTGAATTGTACACTTTACAATAGCTAAAATGGTAAATTTTATGTTGTGTGGGGAGCGGCAGCGGGGGGAGAAGGAGGAGGGCAGGGAGGAAGAAGAATATTGCTACAGGAGTGCAAGTGCAGCATGACCCACTCCCTCCTTCCTACTGATAGGCCCTCTCCTCCTGAGCCTAACCCACCCAGCACACACTGACAACGAGGTAAGAGCTGCGAGCAGGTCCTCCAGTCCACACTGCGACACCGACAGCTCTTCAGACGGAAAGAGGCTGAAGTGCATCCAGTCCCGAGCCTCCTGCCATATTCCTCGGAGAGCCTCCGCTCTAACTCATGCCCGGTCAGTATTAGCAGTGCCTGCCCAGGCACCGCACCGGTGCTGAATGAGAGGAGACCGGAACGCACATTCTAGTGCAGGCAGGCAAGTAATAAATACAGAAACTATGGAGGAGATCCTTTCAATAGTTAGAAGCACGATGGACAAGAGAAAGCGAGAGGATGGGTAAGTGGGCAGCCGTGGGGTATGGAGCCGGATGAAGGGGGTGACATTTAAGATGGTCTGGAGTAAGAGAATGAGTCAGCCAAACCTCAAGAAGATCTGGAAAAGAGCATTCAGGTAAAGGGAGTGAAAGTGCAGAGGCTGTGAGGAGGGAAATGGCATGGCCAGCTCCAGGTCCCCAAGGAGGCCAACGGCTGGAGCACAGAGGTGACAGGGAGAGTGGTGGGAGGCAGGCAGACGTGAGATCGTGCGGGGCCTGTCAGCCAGAGGCAGGTTCTGGGTTGCACTCTAAGGGCATCTGGGGACAACTGGAGGGCTTAAGAAGAGTATGGTCCAGCCTGGCTGGTGTGGCTTAGTGGTTGAGCGTTCACCTATGAACCAGGTCACGGTTCTATTCTCAGTCAGGGCGCATGCCCGGGTTGCGGGCTCGATCCCCAGTTGGGGGCGTGCAGGAGGCAGTTGATCAATGATTCTCTTTCATCATTGATGTTTCTATCTCTCTCTCCCTCTTCCTTCCTCTCGCTTTAAAATCAATAAACATATTTTTTTTTTTTAAAAAAAGAACATGGTTGGATTAAAATAACCCCAATCCTGAGACAGACAACTCAATGCAATGGCTTGAGAGCGGGATCAACTTGGAGATCGGTTTTGGGGGCTCCATCCACTAGAAGTTAGGAATCTGGTTTGAACAGCTCCAGACCTCCACCCTCTGCGGCACCTCCAGGGAGGGAGGTCGACTCCCAGGAGTGACATGGAAGTTCATGTGGTTTCTGAGGTATCTCAGGTGGAGAGAGCTTTGGCACCTGTGTGGATAAGGCCTTTGTCGGGTCTAAAATATACCCTCCCTGCCTTAGACAGGTCTACTCCACCGAAGCCTCAAGGGATAAACTTACTGCCCCATCATTTCAAAGAAAATGGAACATTCTTCTTGCAAAAAACTAGACCAGGCAACTCAGTAATAATACAACCAAATTAAAGCACCACTTCCTGACTGTCCTACAAAGCTATTAGGTACAAGTTTCCAGTCACTTAATTAAAGGCACAGGAAAGAGTATCTTAGGAGAGCATCTATCCCCACCTCACCTATTAAAAAAGGTTATTTAAAGCAAATCTTAGAAAAATGTCTGAAGCAGTTTAAAGAAAAAGAATTGAGCAGCTATACTTGTTATGCTCATAGAGAGAACACGGCACTTAAGGTCCTGCTTCTTCATCAGGGTGATTCTGTGCCCCCTGGGGCATCTGGCAATGTCTGCAGACTGTTCTGGTTGTCACAATGTGGGAACATTACTGGCATCTGGTGGGTAGAGGCCAGGGCTGCTGCTGAGCATCCTATAATGCACGGGAGTCTCCCAAAATAATGAATTACCCAGCCCCCAACACGATGAGTGCGGAGGCGGAGAAACCTGGCGTAAGGCAAGGTCTTCCATCTGCAAGTTCCTAAAATATCCTAGTAACCAACCCGTGAGGATGTGCCTCCCTGGGTCAGACAGCACACGCGTGGCACTGTGAGCTCACACAGGAAGGCCATTCTGGTTTGTGCGAGCAACCAGAGTCCCACGACCCTCCTGTAGGGCAGGGCCACAGCTCTTCCGATCCTTCAGAATCTGACAAGGAGCAAGGTAAGGGAGGGTCTCGCCTGTAACAAATGAAAGGGAACTGCTAATAGCCAGGGAGTTGCATCTTTTGGAGAAATGTATCTCTGCTGGTGATTACAGCAGACCAACAACAGAACAAGAACAGCCAGAGGGACCACTGGTGGATCAGTCCTGGAGGGAGGAGAGGGAGGGACAGCCCCTGGCGGATCAGTCCTGGAGGGATGAGAGGGAGGGACAGCCCCTGGCGGATCAGTCCTGGAGGGAGGAGAGGGAGGGACAGCCGAGTACCTATCTTCCAATGTTCACACTGGAAACCAGCTGGAAGCGCAGGAGTGGAGGGGCCTCCTGCTGAGCCAGGGGCCACATTCTTTCCTGGTCATTTCTAGTCACTTTACACCCTCACCAATGATTCCCAGATCCTCTCAGAGGGCAAAGAGTGCAAAATACCACAAAATAAGAAGTTATTCTTGCTTCAATTGCCTCTTAATTCTTAACATTTTAATAACGAGAATAACTTTTTCTTGTTCACTATCAAATGTCAGCCTCCTATATACCCAATGCCTTGCTTTCCTTTATAAATATTATTTCAGGTCATTTCCTATCATGACATATATAGCTACTTTGTTCTGGTTTTAAAAAATATTTTTTATTGATTTCTAGAGAGAGAGGAAGGAAGAGGGAGAGGGAAAGAGAAACATCGATGTGTGAATGCAACATCAATCACTGCCTCCTGCACACCCCCTACTGGGGATTGAGCCTGGGCATATGCCCTGACGGAATCGAACCAGCGACCTTTCAGTGCATGGGACGACGCCCAACCAACTGAGCCACACCGGCCAGGGCTACCTTGTTCTTTTTTGTTTAAATGACTACATAGCTCATTGACTGAAGATGACGAAATTCACTGCAGTCCTCTACTGATGGCGGGACTCTCACAAACCAGGGCCTGTGCTGTGGCCTGGGGGTCTCGCGTGAGGAAGACTTCACTCTAGCAGAGACGTTAAGGAGAAAGAGTGTGTGGATTCCAAGGGCAGGAGTGGGAGGCTCACTGGGTAAAGCCTCAGTGGAAATTAATGAAGAGTTTTTATTTGTGTAGATGCTTTAAGAATAAAAACATTTGAAGAAATCCACAAAAAGAAAAGAGGAAGAAAGAGATGGATTAATGAAACAATATGCAATCAAAGGCAGTAGAACAGAAGTCAACAGAGTGCAACTCACAACAGACTACAAATTATTTCATTTTCTAAAGAAATTACTTGAGACAAAGAAAAAATGGAGGGCTCAGTAGATGCCAGGCACTGTGCTGATCTTATTGAACCTATGACTGCCTACAACTGAGGTATTATTGCCCCTCTCCCCACACTATGCTCACTTCTACCCACTTCACATATAAGGATACTGAGTCTTACTCATAGGTACAGAGAACAAACTTCCAGGTGCCAGAGCGGTGCAGGAGGTTGGGGGAT